AGGAGCTGATTGCATAATCCAATGAGAAAAAATCATTGAGCTCAGAAGTTCCTTCTCATTGCTGGTCCCCTAATGGTTTGCTCTTTTTTAGACCTCTTTTGACTGCGAAAAGAGGGATGTACTCTAACACTAAGCAGAAACATTGTGACAGCTGATCGACACAAATGTGGTTCTAGCGATGCCCAGTGTGTTCAAGCGAACGGTTCAAAGATTTCTTTAAGCTAACGAGATGGCTGAGACAGTTGACAGTTTGATTCAGATTCATAATCGAGAAACCCTGTTCTGGGTCTCTCGATTTGATCAGTTTCATTCAGGTAGATATATGACTACCATTTCGTGTGAAAGAAACAAGTAACACGTCCACATACTGCACGTGTTACATTGCTCTAGATTGTACCTTTAAAATCAGTCATTTCTGACAGATGACGGAAACGGAACTCAGTGCCGCTTCATAAACTCTATAGGAAATACTACCACGAATAGCGTCACACATTGTAAGGAGACCAAAGTCCCGCAATTGCAAAAAATTTTTTTAACCTTGTAATGATGCTCTTCTGAATCATTAGTTTGTAGGTACCCAGTCAACTTAACGAAACACGTTGTACCATCGAAATAGTTACAGAAAAGAGCGGGAAAATCTTGCTGACTACAGTATATTTAGTACAACCTGTTATAATTGGTTATTACTGCATTAGACCTTTTACCTCCAAGTACTCTTCAGTTTCTGAGTAGTTTATCTCCTTCAAAACAAGGCTATTCAATCGTTGACTGAGCTGGTAATAATTGATCAGATGCAATTTTGTTGCTTTAGTCGTAATGCATTCAGACCTGTTTCTTAATTTTCAACGAGGCTAATAATTTCATTTGAGAACAGACGGTGCTTCGTCACCAAATCTTAAAGAGTTTTACTGCGCGTATAAATTTTTTGCATGACAAAATTCCGCCGATTTAAAAAAATAATATTCAGAGTAAATTAAAGATTTTGGCGGTGAAGAACTTTTCTCCCGCGTAGAGAAATTTATTAATCTTTGTTAGCCTGACAGACAGTACTCAAGGATCGACTGATTCATTCCTGCACTCGTGGCAATGCTGAAAACGGTATGAGACACGGTTTGTCTATGCACAACGTAGACAGTTCGGTCAATCGGATGACTGGCCTGTAAGTCACGGACATTCTTCAAGGTAGAAAGGCTACTAGCCTTCTGGCTCAAAGCGTACGAACTGCTGCGAACGACTAAGGGTTTCTGATGCAAGCCCATATACCTATTTTGATGGAGATTCTTGTCTCACTGGCCGAAGCGTCGTACTGATGATTCTGATCCAACTGACCAAAATGATTTCGTTGCGTAAAAACGACCTGTGTTTCATGCAGTTTTTAACAGTCAGTACTCAAATATGAACTACATAGTAAAACATAATTGCTGTTATTTATGTTTTTACATGTAAAATCTTTTTTTTAGTTTCTCAGGTGTTATCAGTTTTCAATGGAAGTATCAGTTAAAATGTTGAATCCTGCGTCCACGAACAATTTCATGGCGATTTTTGAAGTAAGACAGAAAATATCGTTGAATGGCTTCCGCCTATACATGTACCTTTTTATTTGTTCTGGGCTATTTTTAGTTATTCTTTAGTTTCTTCTTTCTTTCGCCATTCCAAGATACCGTTGCAGTGGGAGAATTGAGGAGGAGGTGCCTTGTGTTTTGAATTTGCTACGTTATCCGTTCGTCGTGAAGAAGTCCGTGCTACAGACGGTCAGTAGTCCACATTCCTGGCCTCACTGTCTAGGCATTCTCGATTGGCTTCGAGAACTGACATCGGTAATTCATTCTTTTATTCCTATTAATTATATATTTATATTGTTTCATGAGACTTTTCCAATACTCCTGGTCATTCTCTAATCAGGCAAATTCCATGAATTGTTTTAACGTCATTTTCTTGGTTGTTAGTGTTTGTTCGAACTTAAAATGCGTTCATTTTCAAAGCTTGCTTCCGAAGTCTTTTGCAGGGTTCTGACCTGCCGCCAAAGGGACTAGCTCAATAGTCTAAACCGCGAAACGCGATAATGCAAAGTCTTTACTTATTGAAGCCTGCAATCTCCCGAGATGCCATCTTCCAATGGACTTTGCTGAGAGAATGCGCATCTCTGACATCCTCATAACATGTGCAAACCATCACAACCGTGATCTCTCTCCTTTGAAAGGATTAGCTGTCATTGAAACTGACTGACTGACTTTATGTTATTCCTTATGACGGATCAAACGTAGTCAGAAACATAAAGGTCTTTTCGTATTAAGCGCATTTGGTTTATTTTCTACATTGTTTGTCTGCTGTATTTTAAATGATGTCATGTTGCGAATTTCTCTAATTATTCGATACATCTACTGTACGCAGTTCTTCATGTCTGCTTCAACCATACGATCGATATTGATAAGTTTAGCCAGACCTCATTTGTAAACGTTGTCTAGTACGTATCTTGCATTTACTATCAAGTGATCACCATTGTTTTCCAATGACTCGT